GCCTGGGTCGTGGCTCCCGGGTCAGGGGGTTTAAGATTTTTGGCGTCTTCCTGACCAATCCCGGTGGCTGCCTGGTGGGGTCTGGGTCCCAGGCCGCTGGGTCCCGGGCTCGGCCGGCTAGTGGTTGGGAGGCTGCGGGCGTGCCTGTGGGCTTGCCGCCGATATCTCCGGGGACTCTGCCGGCTGCTGGTTGTTGCCCCCCGGGGTGATCCTCTGCGCCTCTCGAGGGGGGGCAGGGGCTTTTCTGGTCGCAGTCTCCCTGGGGTTCCTGTGCTCTGGGGCAGCTCCTGGATCTCTGGGACTTGGAGCTCTCTCCGTCTCCTGCATATCTGTAGGGGGCAGATATGTGGCCCCTCACACTCTATTGGACGCTCCTATAGAGAAACCTTACATAAACAAGCGCATGTACACACACAGGTGCTCACATGGTGCTCTCAGAAGTATAGACTTGGGCACATTCAACACAGGTCTTAAGGCTGTGGTGGGCACTTAATGCACTGTGATATATTATCGTGTGATTGTTCAGTTAAACAATGTTGATTATATATTTCTATTGTTGTGTCTATTCCGTGTCTGGTCGGAATTAAAAAGCATTCTAAAACAATAACAATAAAGTTTTAAGTATCAGGCGTGACATTAAAAGCAGACGCTTTGATGCTCCACCTGAGAGTAAATCTGTAAGGCTTGTTACCAGCATTCAGACATCAATTCTGTTTGCTTCACAGCCAGACAGGACATGGGGGAAAAAATTATATATATATATATATATATATATATATATATATATATATATATATATATATATATATATATATATATATATATATATATAAATAATCAGAAGATTAAACATTTATTTTATATTTGCTAATAAAAAGATAATTTATCATGCAGTGCTACTGTTGAACACCAGGAGGCACTGAAGAACATCTGGACTCATTCACTATCTACTGCTTATAAAAAGATTAAATACAATCACTGTTAATTTAACATTAGTACTAATTAATTAATTATTAGCCTATATATGTCTATTTTAGCTCTATTTTTTGTATTTTCATGGAATTAGTGACCATATTTGGCCAAGTTGTCCTGTCTTATACCAACTCTTTTAATCCTTGTATGAAAATCTGTTTCCATCACTGTTTTTATGCACAGCCATGACTTTGATGATTTTAATAAAACTGAAGAAAAATGTTTTTCACTAGTAGATAAACTGTTGTGAAATTATTTAAACAGTTGAGCATGTCTAATTAATGCTGGTGAACAAGGAGATTAGTGGTTGCCAGCCTAATTACTGGGGCTCGACAGAGTTTTAGGATTTAAAAACCAGAAAACATTCAATTATAAATATTTAAGCAGTAAATTCAGTGGTGTCAGATGATTTATGGATTGAACAAAATCTGTTCAGTAATGCAAAAATTCACTAATGAACAAGGATATTTTTAAAATATAGGGGAGGGGTAAAAAGGTCAAATGTAAACACAGTAATGCGCCAATGAATTTCAACACCTTTTTATTACGTTTTCTGAATGGTCTGATTCGACGGCTGAAACATATTTTGTTCAAAAGTTTGAATTGTCATGATGGTGAAAACTGAACTGAATAAAGAATAGTGTCAGAAATTTGCTCTTCTATCCTAAAACATTTGGTACAAAATACATTAAAAAAAGACTTAAAAAACGAATGTACAGGATTTGTTAGTTTTTCAGAAAGCTGAACTCATTATGATTTGTCTGTTCTCTATTTTGTTTCAAACTGGCACAATTTCCCTTAATCCTCAACTCACAAAGTCTTTCCAATCTAATAAAGCCACATTTTTATACGAAGGATTTTTGGTGTTGAAATCAGCAGGAAATTTTGCTGTTTGGGTATTTTTTTGTTTCTGGACTCCATGATTGCTGAAAGCCCAAGATGTCAAGAGGTAAATCTTTTCTAACTAAAGAGACTCTCAGGGAAATTGCATAAGTGTCTTATTCTGAAAGTCGGAGTACGCTGATTTAACAACTAAACAGTTTCCTGCTTTTGTTCTCCTCAGACTGGGTCCAAACCTAATTACCACATTGTTTTGTCTGTGTTGAGTTTGGGCTCTACTGCAGGAAGCTGGTCGCAGTACAACAGGAAGGTGTTTTACTTCCTGTCCGCTGTTTTCAGAGCAGTCCAGAAAAGGAAACCGCAAAGGAAACGCCCACTGAATGAAAGCAAAATTGAGAATAAACATTGAAATAACAGATTTCTTATTTTAGTTTACAGTTTATCATCTGGAGCAGTTTGCAGCTGAGTGTGAAGCAGCTGGGATGAGAATCAGCTCCTCAAAATTCGAGACGGTATTAAATCGGAAAAGGGTAGATTGCCTTCTCCGGGTCAGGGATGAGGTCCTGCCCCAAGCCGACAAGTTTAAGTATTTTGGGGTCTTGTTCACGAGCTGGACTGCAAGATCGACAGGTGGATTGGTGCTACATCTGCAGTGATGTGGGCATTGTACCAATCTGTCGTGGTGAAGAGAGAGTTGAGCCGGAAGGCGAAGCTCTCGATTTAACAGTCGATCTACACTCCAACCCTCACCTACGGTCACGAGCTTTAGATAATGACCAAAAGAACGAGATCACGGATACAAGCAGCCGAAAATAGTTTTCTCCGCAGGGTGTCTGGGTTCTCCCTCAGAGATAGGGTGAGAAGCTCATTCATCCGGGAGGGGCTCAGAGTAGATCCGCTGCTCCTCCATATCAAGAGGAACCAGTTGAGGTGGCTCGGGCATCTGGTCAGGATGCCTCCCTGGGCATGTCCAACCAGGAGGAGACCTGAAGGGAGACCCAGGACACGCTGGAGGGACTGTCTCTCAGCTGGCCATAGAGCACCTTGGGATTCCCCCGGAGGTTCTGGTCCAATTGGCTGGGGAGAGGGAAGTCTGGGCATCTCGGCTTAGGCTGCTGCCCCCTTGACCCAACTCCAAATAAGCGGATAAGAAATCAAAAGTAATAATAAATTGATAAGATTTAAGTTTCTGATTTTTCTGATTCAGACTCACCTGAGTCTCTCTTCCTCCTTCTTGCGGAGCCTCATGTCTCTCTGAACCACCTGCAGCACATGAGTGGCCTCGTTGTCCGACAGACCAGTCAGATCCAGCTTACGACCCATCATCGTCCGTCTGCATTAACACATTAACGTTAATACATTAACTGTTGACTGTAATAATACACACATGAGTACACAGCCTTGTGTGGCACTAATATATGGTAGAAATCAACAAAAAAAGCATTTAGAATTATATTTTCAGAACTAGCTGCTTCGTTAAAATTTTGAAAGAAAAGTGTAAAAACAAAGTAAATAATCCAAGCCTGGCTTTTAAACTCCTTAGGACAATAAAAATCTAATTATGATTCTATGTCAGAATTTCCTGTGGATCTCAAATATTCTTTTTAATACTTTCACACAAAAAATAAATCCTTATAAGTTACATAAAAAACACCTGTGATTACCTTTCAAAGCTGGACTTATGTTCAGAATGACTTAATGCAATGAAATAATTTAAATCATGCTTCATAATAAATCAGTCTAAACAACTTTATTCCGATTTCTAATCATGTAAATTGGCATCTATATTTTTATTCATATGTATGGTTAATTTTACTTGTAAATGAATGTTTTCACATACCTGCTGGCAAATGGTTTAACTGCATATATTGTGAATGAATTAAGAGTTTTTCCACCTCCTAACACCACAGAGACAATATGTGAAATAAACATTTTGCTTTAATGCCCTCAGAAAGGTTACATTGAGCTAAATACTAACAATAAAGAAAAACGAGAGCAATTCTGTGTAGCTTAAGTCAATAAAACCTACTGTGGGAAGAGAAACGGGGATTTAAGAAGATTTGGATATTTAGCATTCCACTGAAGGGAAAACCATTCTTTTATAAGTACATGTTACAAGAATTTGTTGCAGCCTGGATCTCTGATTTTTTAAGTGCAGCAAAGTTCAAGGATATTTAATATTCTATAAACCTGTATCACAGAAAATAATTAGAAACAATAAAGAGACTCACAAGTTTGGTCAAGACTTAAAAATCTTCACAAAGGAGGATAAACCCTTGTTTATCCTGACAGAAGCCATTCGGGTCCAAGAAGCCTTTTGTTCCTCCTTTCAAATAAACAGTGGATGGAAATCTGAGTTACTGCAGCTCCGTCTGTGCAGCTGGACTCAGACAAATAATCAGGATAAAACCAGATTAGGTGCACCTCCAGAAACTCTTTACCTAACATGAAAACAGGCAGCATTGTTGCACCACCTAATCAGCATGGCTTTTACCTATAGTAAAAAAAAAACTTCAAGTATTAAATCATATATATATATATATATATATATATATATATATATATATATATATATATATATATATATATATATATCTTATGAAATATTGTTTGTTATCTGCTTTTTGTGGTCAGTAGGTCTCTGGCTTCAATGTTTTCTTAGTTGCATAAAAGCTCAAAAACAATTTGAGTCAACTCAAATGTAGCTGAAAAAGATTGAAATCAGCTGGGATTCCAAAGGAAACGTGGAAAAGCAACAGGTGGATGAGTGAGGCCCCCGTGTGGCTGGGTGGAGAACTACAGGACACCATCATGCGTTGAGTGATTTGCTTCCAAATGACACACAAACCATCACAAGTAGACATTTATAAGAACAAGTTGAACTCTGATGTGTTTAATGTTTTTAAAAATGTCTTCTCATGTGATGGTTTGGATGTCATATGGAAACAAAAATCCATTACGAGAAGAAATTACATTGTTTTAATTTGGAGTTTGATTTTGCAGGACAACTGAAGGGTTTTCAAAAAACACTTTATTTATTTAGCTCATTTCATGCAAAGTAAGCAACACGAAGTGCTTAACAGAAAGGCGTCAAAGCTAAAAGAAGCAGGATCTGATTTCTGTATTCATTTGGGCATCAAATGACAGAGCAGAGTCCAGTTTCACACCAAGGTCAGTGATTACAGTTTGTTCAAAGGGCCCAGTGACATGAGGTCCACACCATGAGGCTGGCGGTCACTGCTAGAAAAACTCTGACCACAGTCTTATTGTCATTAAAACACAAGAAGTAGCTGCCATCTATGTACCTCATTTAAACAGTTCATCAAAGGCTCAATCATGGCCAACGACCCCTGAATTAGTGGCAGATAAATTTGGCAGTTGTCTGTAGATGAAAGTTTACGTTTGTTCAGAAATAACATTCCAAATGTTTACATTTCATTTTCATCAGCAGTAAACAGGTTTTTATTTATTCCATGCATTTTGTTTTTCCAGATATATATATATATATGTGTGTGTGTGTGTGTGTGTGTGTGTGTGTGTGTGTGTGTGTGTGTGTGTGTGTGTGATCCAAATAAATAAACTGTTCACAAGTGATGTGAGCTCATTGTGTTTAAGAACAAAAAAATGAAGCAAAAATAACAATTCGTATCTTTCTGACATCGTGTAGAAACAAGCAGTCTCCCTCTGACATCATAAAGAAACAAGCAGTCTCCTTCTGATATCATGTAGAAACAAGCAGTCTCATTCTGACATCATCTAGAAACAAGCAGACTCTTTATGACATCATAAAGAAACAAGCAGACTTTCTGACATCATGTAAAAACAAGCAGACTCTTTCTGACATATTGTAGAAACAAGCAGACTCTTTCTGACATCATCTAGAAACAAGTAGTCTCTTTCTGACATCATAAAGAAACAAGCAGTCTCCTTCTGACATCATAAAGAAACAAGCTGTCTCCTTCTGACATCATAAAGAAACAAGCAGTCTCCTTCTGATATCATGTAGAAACAAGATATAAATGTCTGATATATATCAGAATATATATATATGCTTGTTGAATATAAATCTTCATTAAAACGTTTAAATGTTCGTTTTTAAAAACGTTAAAATCATCATTAAAACATTTAAATCTTCATTAAAACGTTTAAATCTTCATTTAAACATTAAAATGTTCATTAAAACGTTAAAATGTTCATTAAAACGTTAAAATCTTCATTAAAATGTTTAAATGGTCATTTTTAAAAACGTTTAAATGTTCATTAAAACATTAAAATGTTTATTTTCAAAAACATTCAAATGTTCATTAAAATGTTTAAAGGTTCATTAAAACAATTAAATGTTCATTAAAACGTTAAAATGTTCATTAAAACTTTTAAATGTTAATTAAAATGTTAAAATGTTCATTAAAATGTTTAAATGTTCATTAAGACGTTAAAATCGTCATTTTTAAAAACGTTAAAATGTTCATGAAAACGTTCAAATGTCCATTAAAACATTAAATTCTTCATTAAAACATTAAAATGTTCATTAAAACGTTAAATTCTTCATTAAAACGTTAAAATGTTCATTAAAACATTAAAATGTTCATTTTTAAAAACCTTAAAATCATCATTAAAATGTTTAAATGTTCATTTTTAAAAACATCATAATGTTCATTAAAATGTTTAAATGTTCATTAAAACGTTAAATTATTCATTAAAACGTTTGAATGTTCATTTTTAAAAACATTAAAAGGTTCATTAAAATTTTTAAATTTTTATTAAAACGTTAAAATGTTCATTAAAAGGTTAAAATGTTTTAAAACAAGCAGACTCTTTCTGACATCATGTAGAAACAAGCAGACTCTTTCTGACATCATGTAAAAACAAGCAGACTTTCTGACATCATGTAGAAACAAGCAGACTCTTTCTGACATCATAAAGAAACCAGCAGACTTTCTGACATCATGTAGAAACAAGCAGACTCTTTCTGACATCATGTAAAAACAAGCAGACTCTTTCTGACATCATGAAAAAACAAGCAGACTCTTTCTGACATCATGTAGAAACAAGCAGTCTCATTCTGACATCATCTAGAAAAAAGCAGACTCTTTATGACATCATAAAGAAACATGCAGACTCTTTATGACATCATAAAGAAACAAGCAGACTTTCTGACATCATGTAAAAACAAGCAGACTCTTTCTGACATAATGTAGAAACAAGCAGACGCTTTTTGACATCATGTAGAAACAAGCAGACTCTTTCTGACATCATCTAGAAACAAGTAGTCTCTTTCTGACATCATAAAGAAACAAGCAGTCTGCCTCTGACATCATGTAAAAACAAGCAGACTCTTTCTGACATCATGAAAAAACAAGCATACTCTTTCTGACATCATGTAGAAACAAGCAGACTCTTTTTGACATCATGTAAAAACAAGCAGACTTTCTGACATCATGTAGAAACAAGCAGACTCTTTCTGACATCATAAAGAAACCAGCAGACTTTCTGACATCATGTAGAAACAAGCAGACTCTTTCTGACATCATGTAAAAACAAGCAGGCTCTTTCTGACATCATGAAAAAACAAGCAGACTCTTTCTGACATCATGTAGAAACAAGCAGTCTCATTCTGACATCATCTAGAAACAAGCAGACTCTTTATGACATCATAAAGAAACATGCAGACTCTTTATGACATCATAAAGAAACAAGCAGACTTTCTGACATCATGTAAAAACAAGCAGACTCTTTCTGACATAATGTAGAAACAAGCAGATGCTATCTGACATCATGTAGAAACAAGCAGACTCTTTCTGACATCATCTAGAAACAAGTAGTCTCTTTCTGACATCATAAAGAAACAAGCAGTCTGCCTCTGACATCATGTAAAAACAAGCATACTCTTTCTGACATCATGAAAAAACAAGCATACTCTTTCTGACATCATGTAGAAACAAGCAGACTCTTTCTGACATCATCTAGAAACAAGCAGACTCTTTCTGACATCATGTAGAAACAAGCAGTCTCATTCTGACATCATCTAGAAACAAGCAGACTCTTTATGACATCATAAAGAAACAAGCAGACTTTCTGACATCATGTAGAAACAAGCAGACTCTTTCTGACATCATGTAGAAACAAGCAGACGCTTTCTGACATCATGTAGAAACAAGCAGACTCTTTCTGACATCATCTAGAAACAAGTAGTCTCCTTCTGACATCATAAAGAAACAAGCAGTCTGCCTCTGACATCATAAAGAACCAAGCAGTATCTTTCTGACATCATGTAGAAACAATCAGTCTCTTTCTGACATCATGTTGAAACAAGCAGTCTCCTTCTGACATCATAAAGAAACAAGCAGTATCTTTCTGCCATCATAAAGAAACAAGCAGTCTCCTTCTGATATCATGTAGAAACAAGCAGTCTCCTTCTGATATCATGTAGAAACAAGCAGTCTCCTATCATCATAAAGAAACAAGCAGTATCTTTCTGACATCATAAAGAAACAAGCAGTCTCCTTCTGATATCATGTAGAAACAAGCAGTCTCCTTCTGATTTCATGTAGAAACAAGTAGTCTCTTTCTGACATCATAAAGAAACAAGCAGACTGCCTCTGCCATAATAAAGAAACAAGCAGTATCTTTCTGACATAATAAAGAAACAAGCAGTCTCCTTCTGACATCATAAAGAAACAAGCAGTCTCCTTCTGACATCATGTAGAAACAAGCAGTCTCCTTCTGATATCATGTAGAAACAAGCAGTCTCCTTCTGATATCATGTAAAAACAAGCAGTATCTTTCTGACATCATACAGAAACAAGCAGTCTCCTTCTGATATCATGTAGAAACAAGATATATATGTCTGATATATATCAAGAATATATATATATATATATATATATATATATATGCTTGTTGAATATAAATCTTCATTAAAACCTTTAAATGTTCGTTTTTAAAAACGTTAAAATCATCATTAAAACGTTTAAATCTTCATTAAAACGTTTAAATGTTCGTTTTTAAAAACGTTAAAATCATCATTAAAACATTAAAATCTTCATTAAAACATTAAAATGTTCATTAAAACGTTAAAATGTTCACTAAAACGTTAAAATCTTCATTAAAATGTTTAAATGTTCATTTTTAAAAACGTTAAAATTTTCATTAAATTTGTTAAAATGTTCATTAAAACCTTAAAATCTTCATTAAAACGTTAAATACTTCATTAAAACGTTTAAATGTTCATTAAAACATTAAAAGGTTCATTTTTAAAAACGTTCAAATGTTCATTAAAATGTTTAAAGGTTCTTTAAAACGATTAAATGTTCATTAAAACGTTAAAATGTTCATTAAAACTTTTAAATGTTAATTAAAATGTTAAAATGTTCATTAAAACATTTAAATGTTCATTAAAACGTTAAAATCTTCATTTTTAAAAACGTTAAAATGTTCATGAAAATGTTCAAATGATCATTAAAATGTTAAATTCGTCAT